AAATTAAAAAAACAGCGACTCGGACTTGAAAGTGCACGCGCTACATTATGCAAATTAGCTACTTGTACGCGTCAGACTTTCCTGCTTGGTTGTGATTAAGCATTATTCTGATTGTTCTGAGAAACGTACAAATTAACCGGCGATACCAGAGTAAAGAGTTTCATAAAGTTTATTCGTAAGTCAGAAGAAATGCAAAAGATTACGCGTACAACTAGCGCGAGCAGATCTTACAGCGCGGAATATGAAGTCCTGTTTTCCGGCAACCTGAAAAACTCACCTTTTCCCACTGCCTCAGAACAAAAATGCGCCAAAAACCATCCTTCTTCATATAGAAGGGAGTTTCATGGAATTTCTTTAGAAACCTGAGTTCCAGTGTAAGTAAGCGGAATCTGCTCGTTTTAGTAAACCCCAGTCTATTGCATCGCACCATTTTGCTCGGACCCGCCCGTTTCACCGCCCTACATGTAAGCGCCCTTATGGCGGCCATACTCCAAATAATAGGTTGACAGAGACATGCAGCCGTGGTTTCCCGGGTACTTCTTTGATATTGGACATCCCTGTCATGATCAATTGACATCTGTCGAAACAAGGTATCCGCTGACCAGTATCACGTGACCATATCGCGGGCTTGAGTTTACAGCTCATCGAAGTCACGTGTTTTTTTGAAGTTGACTGCTGACCAAGCGCTGGTTTTCTTTTGGATCGCGGGCTCATGTCAGGTTAATTTGTTGAAAACAGGGCAGGATTGTGCCGAAGCCGGTTAACGCTAGCCCAGGATTAAAAGTTAACCGAATTATAACTTTTTCTTCTATACAAATGTTTTCTACTGCTTTGGTTTGTGTATATGGTGATTATTAAAACTCAAAACAGAAGGCTAAACAAAATACAGAAAACCTCACCGCACAGTTATAAAACTCAAATCAAAATTCTACCTTATCCTGGGTTAGCTTAATCGGGCTCTGAACAACCTGGCCCAGGAGCTACGCTTTTAGGCTGGCCTAAATCTATATATTAAACACCCAAGACAGTGATTGACCACATTTCCATTCATCTCGAAGTTCGTCAAAAATACTCTGCTTCGCGTCGAGTGACAAGCCTGTCGTCGTAAGACGTTGGTCATGAAAAGGACCCTTGTAACCACCAGTGGGATAGGTGTAAAAATAACTGGAGCACACCGGCTGCATGAATAATCTTTTTGTCACAACAGGTCAAATAGGCATAAGGACTGAATTTAAAACAAACGTCATTTACCTGAGTATCCATGCAATCCAGTAATTTGCAGAATGGGGGAATGGCACCACATTCTACAAGAACTGCTACCTAAAATTCACAGTAATGTAAAGACATGTTACAGCATAGTAGCTTAATAGCCGGAGTTTAATGGTGTTCATTTGGAGTCTTAATCTGTTACATGTGTCATTTCTTTTTCATCTTTTCGGGTCTTTTTCTCACTATTTTAAAATGTCGTTCAGTCTAAATATAGCACAGCCTGTTCGAACTACAAAAGAATTTCAATACGAAATTGTTACGGCAATAACACCTTCAAAGCCGAGGAGAAACCAAATAACAATTCTAATTTCAGTTTACAAATGACACTGTCCAGCAATAAATAAAGAAATAAAATAACTAACTTCAGTAACGTATCAAAATTCTAGCTCACTGTAAAATAGTAAGCTAATTGGGGACACTTAAACTAACAAGAATTATGAAATTCCAATCGTAAAAAGATAAATTCTAAGTTTACGGGACATATAGTTACCTAAAGCATAAAAGACAACTATTTACAATTTTCGCTCATGAGTTGACCTATGCTAATAAAAACGATTAAAATTCGTCCAACAACATCCAACGATTATTAAAATTCCAATGTCATATTTTATTAAGGAAGAGGTTTGTGTACGGCACGTAACCTGTGAGCAAGTTGTTAGCAGGGTAATGGGCCAATCCACTAACAAGCCTGTCTCCGACTATTATTATACATTGAACTCACTATCTCTTTTCTTATTGGCCGAAAGCGTACAGTGAATTTTCGAAATCTCAAGGTCACAGGTAATCATCTCATGTATGACCACGGTGCATGATTTCTAAGCAGGGTAATCATGTCAAGTTCGCGCGCTTTGTGTTGCTTGCCGTCAGTGAAGAAGCAAAAACATGACTTCCAGGTTTTTTCGTTCAATGTATAATAAAACAATTATTAGATTCGGTTTTTGTGATATCCAGAATAATCAAGGTCTCAGTAAAAAGCTGAAGCCGAAGGCCGAGGCTGATAACCCCTACCTTGATTATTCTGGATATCACAAAAACCTGATCCAATAATTGTTTGTAATCCCACAAAAGTAAAATTTAACAAACATAACTAAGGCTGCGTTCACACTTGATGCCCGAGCACTCTTGCCTGGGCAAAGGTACAAAATAGTGTTGCATTTAGACACTTGGTACTCCAGGTATACCCAAGTACCATTTAGCGCGCGAGTTCGAGACCTTGTACCCGGGCACCAACACTGTGCCTGAATTCTGTTGTGAGTGCTTCAAAAAAGGTGTGTGCACATTAGTGCCTAGCGAGAATCGTGCTTGGGCACCAAAGTGTGAACATAGCCTAATAAAGAACACAAACAGTTCACACCTGTTGTGGATTGCCACTGACTGTGAAATTACTAATTGCCCACGCTGCCTCTTTCTGTGTCAGAAATTCACCCTAAAGAAAACAACATACAAATTAACAGAATTAACGCGATCAAACTGGGCAGGATGAGTCCTATCGAATCTATTGTTTCACTTTGGGTTTGGGATAATTTTGTAACTTTGACATTAAAGCAACAGAGGACGAAGAAAGTAAATGCAAAGATAAAGACTGCTAAGCTCAACGAGTATGAAGCCAAGAATTTGTTCTAATGCACACACAACAAGAGACTCGGTTCCAAATGTATCACTAAAGACATTATCACAGGGCCCGATATATCAAAAGTGTACATGCTTTTACTGTAGCAATGAATTTTTTTGTCACCAATTATGATAATGTAGTCCTATTACAAATGCAAGTAGTGTAGTTGCAATAACTAGACAGTGTCTCAATAAACAAGCAAAATAAAATGGATCACAATAACAACAGATAATTTGTATGTAGCTCCTTGTCCTTCATTGACCCCAAGTGACCTACTGACAATTGTGAACAGAACTTCATGCTGACTGGTGGTTAATAATACCATTGACTAATGTTCAAGAGCAAATGAAAATAAATAAGTTATGATAATTAAACCTTGGTTTCAGCAAAAAGGGAGAGTAACCTAGACACACGAAAGTGCTATGCTAATCAAGCACGCAAAACATTTTTGTGAGCAAAATTTTGTACTTGGTTGTCACATTAAATGTTTGTAGATATTTTGTCAACCTGACAGAAAACACTCACCGTTTCTAAAGTTTGAATAATAAGTGGGACAAGTCCTGCATTAATAATTTCCTGTAATTAAAACAAAAAAAAACTAATCAACAAAAGCAATGCCTACCTTGATCTATTATATTCATGCAATCCTTCTTTTTAATGGTACAGTTATATAGACAAGGGATTATTGAATAATTTTTCCTTTTCATTTGAAGCTGATATAAGCCAGCAAGGAAAACACGACAGAAGTGTTGAAAGCAGATCTTAACTGGAAAGAAAATAATGACTACAACATTCAAAATTTCACAAAAATGGTTATTTTGGTTTTTAAAAACCTGAGAAAGAAAATCAAATTTGATGAACTGTTCTACGCTTCCATCACTGTTATCCTGTAGCTCTTCCCCCCAAAATACTTACTTCATTTTCCGGCCACAGCAGAGTCTCTGTATCCAATGCATTTTTATATTTGGAAGCACTTAGCAATATAAAATGGAAATTTTATAACGTAGCCTTAGCGAAGCACGCGTTCCAATTGGTTAATACGCTTGATCCATTTGCCCTCGGGTTGCACGCTGACGTCAGTTTGTTTATTTGTACTTTTTCTCGGCAATTTTTTTCATCGATGTTGACACTTCTCAAAACAAAATTCCACTTTTTTTCCTCCTAAAATATGAAAAGATTTAATCATTCTTCCGGATATAAGGAAGATTATTCCTGTGAGCAGCGAAATTTCGAGCTCAAGTTTTTCGATGGGCCTCGACCTAAGAGATTTGCTAATTTAGCGAGGAGTTGAACCAGCTGGTTGAACAAAGGCACTCGACACTCGGAGACGGACCAAAAAAACAACAAACTGATCTGCATCAACCTTTCGAGGTTAGTAATGCATAGCGGGAATTTTAGAGAGAATTTTACAGCGATTTGGCGACACTAAAATTCAGCATAAGCTTTCATTGTAAAACTTTTCTGGCGTCGAAAGCCATTTAAATGCTTTCGGCGAGCGGAACTTGTACATGAGAGTTTTAACAAATTTCTGTTTTAAGTCTTGCTTACGAAATCCTTCTGTTCCAATAACTTTAAAGATAACAGTTTTTCTGAGCTTTAACAAAGGAAGTTTTATGAAATATTGGTAGCCTCTGTTGAATTATTTCCCTGGTTTCAGTTTTGCTCGATCGCTCGACTCACTCTATCGTGAATTGAACTCTTGAAATTGAAGAAACAGCCGAGCGACTGCATCGTGCACAAATATAAGCTTACATTTCTGACAATTTCCTTTAAGACTCAGTCTTCTGTTCATTTAAGCTTATTTTACCAGATAACGAAAGAAAGAAAGCCATTTATGTGTTCAAGTTCAGCCTTAGACGCGCAACTCTTCAATTTAAAACAAAATGGAAAGGAAAACGAAACCTACAACCTGCTATTGAATAAGAGCATCTCAAAACAGCTCAAAGCCACGGGTGTTTGTTCGCTTTCTTCTCCACTCTCGTTTTTAAGAAATGTCTGTTTCCATATTGTTCTTTTCTTTTGCCGAAGAGGCCGTGAAGGACAGAGAGATCAGCAACCAAAAGCTTCAACCACGTGTAGTTGGTTTTCAATTCTTTGGAAAACTGATCCAGATTTAAGCTCGACTAACTTTTGAGAAACACTTTTAACGAATGCAATTTTCGTTTGTTGTCAGCTTGATATTTAGGTTAACGAGCAGTTTGAAGTTGTTTGTTTGCCCGAGATCGTGAAATGCAAACTGTAAACTTGCCGTGATCCAAGAAAAATTTTGATATGTCGATTTGTCATATTTTTGAATGAACATTTTCGCGCGGTTTATCGCGCTTTTGACTTCATGTAAGCCGCACGATATTCAATATATACCATCTCAAAAGTCTCAATGTTATAAAAGAAATGGAAAGCGTGCAGTGTGCAACTATCGAGTCATATATGCACTTGGGAGGTTTGCTAAGCACTTAAGCTAGAGTTGCACTCGGCTATCGCCTTGTGTGACTCTTGCGCTTCTTTCGTGCTTAGCAACCTCCCGCGTGCATATATAACTCGATGGTTGCACGCTGCACGCTTACCATTTCTTAAATAATCCAACTCAAAAAAGCGAGTGAAAGTTACACCATAACATTTTTTAACGAATATTACCCAGAATAAAAAAGCAAAGCTTATGCTCAGCTCAGCGAACAAAAAAAAAGCAAGTGTAGTCACTGTAAACACCCACTGGTAATTCTAAATCACCTCCAGCAGAAGGGCATAAGTAAGGTTCAATCAATTAATCAGTCAGTCAGTCAGTCAGTCAGTCAGTCCGTCTGTCCGTCCGTCCATCAGTCAATCAAACAAACAATCGTTAAGGTTACTTCCCACCTTCGCAGG